TTAGGCGAGATAGGATCTGCCACATGTAGTCTGGGCGCCGAGCGCCAATAGGATATCAACTCTTGTTCTTCGTTGATGATGATGAGAGACTATTTTAGCATTGTCAATTACGAACTATTGGTGTGATCTTATTTGGTGAATCTCGTGATGCATTTCTGCTGTTGGTTCGAGGTCAAGACTATCTGGACTCATATGTATGATGCTGTTTGATTGCGGGAGTTCACTAATGTTCATCTTCCTTGCAATTTGGTATCGGAGCTGTGGTACGATTGCGCTCATCTGGCGCTTGTCTTCTGCCTTATGCGGTACATACATGCGGTCTGCTGGGCGAGTTTGGCCGAAGTGGTGTGTAGTGAGGAGGGTGGAGACGAGTGTGAAGGCGACCCAGGAGGTGAGGGGTTCGCCAGGAAGGCTATGTGAAGTGTAAGTGGTCTGGACAGTGTGACGAGAACTATCTAATGTGCGATTGATGCTGAGGTGGAACGGCGGATAATGCTGGTTGTGCCGATGCAGTGACTGGTCATCACAATCGCCATTTGGTCATCTGGTGAGATTATCTCTGTGGTTGGGGGCAGCTTGAATGAGGTACGTTGCTCTTAACCTTATCTACCCTCTTCATCACTTCTTACTGTGAGGTTGTGAGTTCTGTCTTGAGAGTCCTCTCATCGTGAGGTGTCGAGTGCGCTCAACCTTGAGAGTCGTGATTGTTGACGTGGAGCATCTGGGGGAAGACGGGCGGAGCTTCTTGAAGGGCCCTGGACGAAGCACTCGGGTCACGGTCACCATGCCAACCCGCTGGGACTAGTACACGCATGCTTCGCTGCAAGTCGTTGGTTCTGCCGCTTGCGCAAGATAGGGGTTAACTCGAGTGTGGCAGCCTCTTAAGACGCATACCAGACCGTCTATAAAGATTTCTGGTTGGGGACTCGGCTCTGATCTGGTTGTGATCGTCGTCCTGTTACGACGTAAAATAATTCCTGATGTCACTTGGGGGCGGACGTTAAATTGCCTCTTGATCAGCCAGATCAACTGAGTGTGTACGAGGATAAATAAGAGTGATGTGGCTGCCTTGCTCGACGATAACCTGGGGCACAGGGGTGGGACCGGATTGCACACCTTTTAGACACGCTTGGCTTCTGATGCGTAGAAACGTGACACCGTGACATTGAGAAGAACAAAGGGAGGGGTTGATTCCAGGTGACAAGTTCGAGAAAATACCATGCTGTCCTATCCACACAAGTGATTCTATTTTTTATGTTTTGATTAGTTAGATGGACTGCCATTGACATCTGACAGACAGCATTAGTTAGAACTGTTGATTGTTCCTGGTGCTTCTGTTTGCAGACTAATCATATTAAAAATAGTTTCAGTTGTAGGAATCTGACTTACCTGTTGACCCCAAATGAGATCTGTTCCAAAATAGCCGCCATCAATTATTTGGTCTGTGCACTATGCTGCGGTAGGCATCTAGAAGGATCTAGTGTAGACAGCGCACAGTGTTGTAGCCTATGAGCGACACAGGGGACACCGGAGAGGACAACCGCAGGACTTTGCGATCAGCTAGAGGCCCAATAACTCACGTGTCCCTAGGAACGGAGGGTGATAGGGAACTGTTCCGCCGGCAGAGGGAGAGGCAGCAGCAGAGGAGAGCTAGAGCAGCCGAGGCCAGCAAGGCATTAGCTAGCGAGGCCGGTGCTACAGCAGCCATGGCTACCACAGCCAAAGCACGTCTGCGCAGCAGACTTCCCAAGCCGATAGTTCAGGTACCGCCGGGTCCACGGTCGCGCAGATCGTGAGTCAGTCCACTGGCTTAATGGCAAGCCAGCCCACGGTGTTGACCCCAGAGGATGTCGCCATCCAGCAGGCAGCCCTGCAAGAGGCACAGCTACAGCAGGCATTAGGACAGATAAACAGGGAGAAGGAGATGATGATTAGAAGAAGGACCAGGATGCAACGGAGAGGGGCAGACATAGAGGAGTTAGAGTCGATGGACCTGACGAACATGGATGACGATGTGAGGGTAGTTAGGAGGGCCCTGCTAG